CCAGGTGTGGCGTGCCACACCCCACGCTTGACCCTGCTCTGCTCAGTTTGAAGGTACTCATAAGAGAGGAGGGCTCTGGAGAATCATGACCCGCCGCCCATAAGAGAGATTAAGTCTCTCTTATGAGTACCTTCGAACTGAGCAGAGCAGTGAACACCGAATGATTCCCACATAGCATTGTTTATTATCATACTTATCACGTCAACGTTCTATATAAGTCACAAAATTCTATGAATACTACTCATATGACCAAACCACTACTGGTCGTCTCCCCTTATGTCGCAGGATAAGGTGTGTGGGAACACTGTTCGTTCGTCTGTCAGCCATTCACACCTTTCAGGTTAAAAGCGGCGAGAAGGTTTCCTTATCCACTGAAAGTAGAGAAAAGGTGCCGAAGGCGGGAATAGCAAAAGAGGAGAAGAAGAAGCAGATTACGAAAATTAGAGACTCAGAGGCAGGAGGTCTACCAAGCGTGAAGAATGAGGACTTCTTTCACGGATTTGTGCCCAGAGAGCAGGTGGGACTTGACGTATCCACTAAAAAGTACAATAGGGCTTGCTCATGCCTGTTTCCCTGATGCTGCTATTTCTGATGTAATATTTGGTTGGTAATGTCAGTGCTTCACAAAGTACTATGAGTATGGTGCCCATAAACTTACTTGGCGTTTACATTCATTTACTTGGCATCAACATTTACTTGGCAAAATGCCGGAGCGGTCCGCTCGCAAAGCCTCCAGCTTTGCGGATGCTCCAAAAACTTCGCCTACTCCGAATTGGAGAGTACTGTACTAATAGCTAATCCAACAGTATTCTTGTATTCCATTAGCTAACCAAGCGATATGGTTGCAAGATGCTCATTGAACCTGACTGAGTTGTCTTCCTTTCGCAAATGCATCCCATTGATGGATAATTGATAGCGATTCTAGTGCAAAGGCGGAAAATTCGAAAGGTTATTTCTAGCCAACCCGGCTGTAGTGCGGTCGATTCTAAGTGAGATGAAGCTTTTGACTGAAGAAAAGAACTGTGTTCAGATTAGAGCTAGGGAGCCTTTGCAAGCCATGAGACAATCAAGTAAATATGCGCCAACTCTAGCAGCTTGCAGTAGTGAGGCCTTGTTATTTTCTTGAGCTGGGATCTTACATCTCTGACAGTCGTTTTGCTGACTGACTACCAGTGACTACCAGTGCTGACTTTCACTGATACTTGCGACATAGAAAGCGCAGCCCGCAGCCAATGCCTTTGAAGGAAGAGAAGGCAGCATTATTAGAAAGCAGGGCCCGGGCAAGCAGTCGATTTTTGAGATTTTTTTGCTTACCTAAGCCTATTCGATCACAGTGAAGAGCGCGAAAATCGCGAAAAAGTGCTCTGACGCCGGAACGGAGTCAGCGGATGGGCGAAGTCTTCCACTCCGTGGAGTCACCCACTCGACCCTGCAGCGATCTTCTCGGTTTTGGCTGTTTGGCCTTTGAAGATGTTAGGGCGGCTAACGGAAGCGAGAAGATGTTTCCGGAGCTGGGACAATGTCTTCGCAAATGTGGAAAATTCCGTTTACCTGTTGGTTCTCTCCCCCCTCCCTCCTCCTTGCGTTAGAGCCGATTTCGAACTCTCCAGTGTGAAGTTTCGGATACAGCATAGCGAATAGGGAAAAGTAAGCACAAGATATTGAAATCAATTCCTTGCTCGGACCCTGCCTTTGACCTAACTTTTGCTCCTGATGATCCTCATTTGAGTACGCAACTTCGTTCTTTGCTTGCGTCTTCTTTGGATAGTTGACAACCTCATAAAAAGTGAGATCGACGAGACAACCATATTTGACAAATTCAATATGTCCGTTATAGACAGGTCGCCTTCTGCTAAGAGTTGGCGATTTCCTTGTGAGGCAAGCCGTAAGAGCGGAACATAAATCGACTATGGGTGTACGTTCTGCTCATTAGCCGATTTCGCTCCACCAGTACTCAGGCATCATTTTAGGAACAATTCATCATCTCAATTAGAGTAAAACCATCATCTGTGGAAATCGCTGTATGTTTGTTTGCAAGATTTACGGACATTCAAAGCTCGAAGTTTTTTAGAAAGGCGCGGGAGTTCTGCCGACTAACTTGACTGAAGAAGAGATGGCTGTAAGCTTCAATGCTGCGTAACTATAATTACTGCAGAAATTTAGTGCCGCTCAAAAGTAGTGAGTACTTCAGGCAGAGAAGAAGAGGGCTGAAGAAGAAATGAGACATATATTCATAAAATATAGTAGAAGAGCCAAGCTCTATTATGTTCGATTATTTGGCTTTAGGCTAGTATCAGGTAAATTCTATAACAGTTCCCAACGGCCTGATTACAGTACTATGATTTCTGATCAGCCTTCTTGAATTTCTGAAATTCGAAAATTTTCAAAAAAAAATTCTTTTATCCGTGAGCAAAAGAGAAGCACCTTTTTTTCGATGAGTTCTCAAATTTTTGCAACAGGATCACAAACTTTGTCCACTTGATTCTGGTTTATCCCTCCAAAGTTGCTGCGTTTCTAGGATATTTAGTTCAGAATTATTGGAATGTTGAAAATGGATCGGAACTGATAAAATGAAATTTCAAAATAAAAGGATTCGAAAACCAAGAGCGAATTAAGAAAACAATTCTTACACAAAGTCTCTGAGGGTTGAACTTTGTTTTATTCGTAAAAAAGGGCTGATTTTGTTCTTGTAAATGTCTTCAAAAAACAGACACCAGAAATGGTTGGAGAAGTCCCGTGTATTCTGACTTAGCATGCGTTTTTAGAAGTATGTGAAAGAGAACATTTTTTTACTCTTAAACGTCTCGTCAAGAGCAAAGGAGCTTTAATTGGTCTCTACACACTATGATTAACTTTAACTACCACTTTAGGGCTTATCGAGTATCATAAGCGTCATAAGATACCAGTTGATG